GCGTGGGGGGAACCGTCAGCGCGGCAACATCAGAGGGAAGGGACAGGGGGCAGAGGACGACGACGAAATTGACGGGAGGAGACCGAAGCGTGTTGCTTTTGTCGGTTGTACGCTAAAGATGCAGTGCTGTCTGCGCCATGTCGCCGCGGCGCTCGGAAAAAATGATTCACCCTGTTTATAGTTAGCGCACGGATCAAACGAGGCCTAGCTCGCCCGCCAGCTTCTCTATTTCTTTATTGACGACCCCAGAACCCGAAACAACCTCCAGGTAGCAGAAAAAGGTGTCATTCCGTTGGGCCCCAAGGGTGGCGAGGTCAGCTGGTGGTCCGCGTAGGACGTCGCTCCGCTGCACCTTCCCACTAGCACTCGAAAGTGGCGACGGGTTCGCAGATCGCAGCCCCCCCAAGGATGGCGAGGTCTCCTGATGGTCCGCGTAAGGCGTCACCCCGTTGCATCCCCCCAGCAGCTTTAGAAATTCCCGACAGTTTCGTAGATCGCAGCCTCCCCCCCCAAGGGATGGCGATGTCTCCTGGTGTACCACGCAAGGCGTCATTCCGCTGCACTCTCAGCAGACTTCGAAAGTGGCGACAATTTCCCAGATCTTGGGCCTTCAGGGCTGGCGAGGTCTCCTGGTGATCCGCGTAAGGCGTCACTCCGCTGCTCCCCCCGGCAGCCTTCGAAAGTGGGGACAGTTTTACATATCGTAGCACCCCAGGGATGCCGAGGTCTCCTGGTGGTCCGCGTAAGAGGTCTCTCCGCTGTACCCCCTGGCAGCCTTCGAAAGTGGCGACATTTTCGCAGATCGCAGCCCCCCCCAGGGATGGCTAGGTCTCTTTGTGGTCCGCGTGACACGTCATTCCGTTGCACCCTCCAGCAGCCCTCGAAAGTGGCGACAGCTTCACATATCGCAGCCCCCCAGGGATGGCGAGGTCACCTGGTGGTCCGCGTGAGACGTCGCTCCATTGGACCCCCCAGCAGACTTCGAAAGTGGCGACGGTTTCGCAGATCGCAGCCCCCAGGGCGAGGTCTCTTAGTGGTCCGCGTAGGACGTCACTCTGTTGGAACCCCCAGCAGCCTTCGAAAGTGGTGGCAGTTTCACAGGTCGCAGCCCCCCAGGGATGGCGAGGTCTCCTGGTGATCCGCGTAAGGCGTCACTCTGCTGCAACCCCCAGCAGCCATCGAAAGTTGCGACAGTTTGGCAGTTCGCAGCCCCCCAAGGATGGCGAGGCTGGCGAGGTCTGCTGGATACGCGTAAGACATCATTCGGTTGAAACCCCCAAGAGACTTCGAAACTGGGGAAAATTTAGCAGATAGCAGCGCCGCAGGGATGGCGAGGCCTCCTGGTGATCCGCGTAAGACGTCGCTTCGCTGGACGCCCCGCGGCCTTCGAACGTGGCGACAGTTTCGCAGCTCGCAGGACCCAAAGGATGACGAGGTCTTCTGGTCATACGCGTAAGACGTCACCCCGCTGCACCCCCCACCAACCCTCGACAGTGGGAACATGTTCGCACATCGCTGCCCCCCAGGGATGGCGAGATCTCCGGGTGATCTGCGTAAAACGGCACTCCGTTGTACCTCCCAGCAGCCATCGAACGTCGCGACCGTTTTGCAGCTCGCAGTCCCCCCCAGGGATGGCGAGGTTTCTTGGTGATCCGCGTAAGACGTCACTCCGCTGCACCCCCCAGCAACCTTCGACCGCGGCGACAGTTTCGCAGATCGCAGCACCACAGGGATGGCGAGGTTTCTTGGTGATCCGCGTAAGACGTCACCCCGTTGCACCCCCCAGCAGCCCTCGAAAGTGGCGACAGTTTCGCAACTCGCAGCCCCCGCAGGGATGGCGAGGTCTTCTGGTGATCCGCGCAAGACGTCTCTCCGCTGCAACCCCCAGCTGCCCTCGAAAGTGGCGACAGTTTGTAAGGCGTCACTCCGCTGCAACCCCCAGCAGCCCCTGAAAGTGGCGACAGTTTCGCAGCTCGCAGCCCCGCAGGGATGGCGAGGTCCCCTCGTGATCCGCGCAAGACGTCGCTCCGCTGGACCCCCCAGCAGCCTTCGAAAGTGGCGACGGTTTCGCAGATCGCAGCCCCCAGGGATGGCGAGGTTTCCTGGTGATCCGCGCAGGACGTCACTCTGCTGCAACCCCCAGCAGCCCTTGAAAGTGGCGGCAGCATTGCAGATCGCAGCCCCCAAGAGAGAGGAGGAGGGAAGAGGGGAGGAGGGAAGAGAGGAGGAGGGAAGAGAGGAGGAGAGCGGCGGGAGGGGGCGGAGCACGTAGTGCTTTATTCCCAACGCAGGAGGGTTGGGACCGAGACAGTGCAAGAAACCAGACACACCCAACAGTGGAAACAAAAGGGCGTTTCAGGAACAGCATCCAACATTAGGTGCGTAAGGGCGCCCCGGGCACCCGCAAACGATTCGTGGGCGCCGCGCGTTGCTTTCGCATTGCATGACAGCGCCCTGCGTGCTATGACAAAACAACGCCCTGCGCTAAACGTAGCAGGCCTCCAAGTGCATTGCGGGCAGCAGGTGGCTGATTAGGGGGCGCGTGCCCCCCCACCCCGCGGGACCTCCCACGAGCCCACGGAAGGTGCGACACTTGCGCACTTCGTAGTCCCCCGGAGAGCCGCGAGGTCTCAACTGAATCCCAGTGCCTCCCCGCTCCGCGGGACCTCCCAGGAGTCACCGAAAGTGGCGGCAGTTGCGCACTTCGCAGCGCAGCCTCCCAGGGAGCCACGAGGTCTCCACTGGATCCCCGTGTCCCCCCGCTCTGCGGGACCGCCCAGGAGCTTGCGAACGTGGCGAAAGTTGCGCACTTCGCAGCCACCCAGGGAGCCGCGAGGTCTCAACCGGACCGCGCGGCCTCCCAGGAGCCAGCGAAAGTGGCGAGGGCTGCGCACTTCGCAGCCCTCCAGGGAGTCGCGGGATCTCAACTGGATCCCCGTGCCCCCCCCCGCTCCGCGGCACCTCCCAGGAGCCAGCGACAGTGGCGACGTTGCGCACTTCGCAGCCCCCCCCCCCCACAGGGAGCTGCGAGGTCCCAACTCGGCCCCCATGCCCCCTCCCCACACCGCGGGGCCTCCCAGGAACCCGCGAACGTAGCGACGGTTGCGCACTTCGCAGTCCCCATGGAGCGGCGAGGTCTCATTTGGATCACCGAGTCCCCTCACCCTGCGGGACCTCCCATGAGCCTGCGAAAGTGGCGGCAGTTCTTCACTTCGCAACCCCCCTGGGAGCAGCGATGTCTCAAATGGATCCCCGTGTCCCCCAACTCCGCGGGACCTCCCAGGAGCCCACGAAGTGGGTGAGGTTTGCACACTTCGCAGCAACCCAGGGAGCCGCGAGGTCTCAACTGGATCTCCGTGCCCCCCCACTTTGCGGGACTTCCCAGGGGCCCGCGAAAGTAGCGAGAGTTGCGGCCTTCGCAGCCCCCCAGGGAGCAGCGAGGTCTCACTTGGATCACAGTGCCCCCCCCCACTCCGCGGGACCTCCCAGGAGCTCCAGAAAGTTGCGACAGTTGCGCACTTCGCAGCGTCCCAGGGACCCGCGATGTCTCAGCTGGATCTCCGTGTCCCACGACTCCGCGGGACCTCCCAAGAACCCACGAGCGTCGCGACAGTTGAGCATTTCGCAGCCTCCCAGAGAGCCGCGAGGTTTCAAATGGAACCCCGTGTACCACTGCTCCGCGGGACCTCCCAAGCACCTACGACCGTCGCGGGACCCCCCTGGGGGCGCACGAAAGTGGCTACGGTTTCGCGTTTCGCAGACCCCCCAGGGAGTTGCGTGGTCTCAACTGGATCCCCGTTTCCCCCCACTCTGCGGGACCTCCCAGGAGCCCATGACAGTGACGACAGTTGTACACTTCGCAGCCACCCAGGGAGCCGCGAGGTCTCAACTGAACTCCCGTGTCTCCACACTCCGCGGGACGTCCTAGGAGCCAGCGAAAGTGGCGACAGCTGCGCACTTCGCAGCCCCCCAGGGAGCCGCGAGGTATCACCTGGATCACCGAATCCCCCCACTCCGCGGGACCTCCCAGGAGCCCCCGAACGTGGCGACAGTTGCGCACATTGCAGCTACCCAAGGAGCCGCAATGTTTCAGCTCGATCCTCGTCTCCGCCCACTCCGCGGGACCTCACGGGAACCCGCGATCGTGGCGACAGTGGCGCACTTCGCAGCCCCCCACGGAGCGGCGACGTATCAGTTGGATCCCCGTGTTCCCCCCGCTCCGCGGGACCTCCCAGGGGCCCACGGAAGTGGCGAGGGCTGCGCCCCTCAAGGAGCCGCGAGCTCTCAGCCGGATCCTCTTGCCCCCCCCCTCGCCCAGCAGGACCTCCCGGGAACCCGCGCACGTGGCGCGGCCTCCCCCGTGAAGGTGGCGACCGCTGCGCACTTCGCAGCACCCCCAGGGAGCGGCGAGGTCTCCACTGGATCCCCGCGCACCAACTCCTCCTCCTCCTCCTCCTCCTCCTCCTCCTCCTCCTCCTCCTCCTCAGTGAAATGGTGCAGGGGAGAGGCGCGAGCAGCATGCTGTGTACACTGCAGCCTTTCAGGCTCAACCAGCCGGGCGGCCAGCCCGGCCGAACTGTCGACAGAGAGAGACAAAGATTTCATCTCATTTCAGGACCGCATCTCATGGCGATTGTGACGATCATCTCGGAGACGGTAGGGCCGTTCGGCCCTGAGTAGGCGGGGGAGAAGCTCACCAGAGGTCATTCGACTCTGGTAGCGGAGCCGGAGGGCTCTGCAGGGTCGGCTGCAGTCTCTGCCGGCCCTGAGCGTGACGACCACGGCCACGGAGGACGGACCGGCCCAAGGCGTTGCACCTGTGCTACCCAGACTTCGTGCACGGCCTGTGCGACACAGGCCACCAGGACGAGAACTGGAAGCTCTTCCTCGTCGCCTCCGGCGAGGCACTCGAGTTTCGGCAAGATCATGAAGTTCATCACGGTCATCGGCCTCCTGACTACGGCGATCAGCTGCGTGCTCTCGCTGGCGGAGCCCCAGAGGTGCCGACCGATGACGCCGCAGCGGGGCCATCGCATCGGCGAGTCGCGCCTACCAGCGCCTGCCTGGGGGCCCCATGCGCACGAGCAACAACCACAGGGCCTGTCGGCAGCAGAGTTGGCCCAGCAGAGTACTTCAAAGGTCCCGCCGTTCTGGGCTCCGTACCTCGAGCAGCGGGGCTACCCCTTCCGCCTGTGGGTCCAGGACGTGATGCTGTGGTGCGCCGCGACGGAGCTGCAGCCCCCACAGCGTGGCCCAGCTATTGTCCAGCGCCTGGGCGGCACAGCGAGGGACCTCTGTCGCGAGGTGCCGGTGGAGAACATCGCGCTGGGCAGGTTCGATGGCCTGGGCAACCAGATCGAGGACGGTGTGCAGATGCTGATTGCGGGACTCCGACGGCGCTTCGGCCCGCTTGATGTTCAGACCTCGATCAGTACTATCGTGGAGCTACTCACCTTCCGCCGCCAGGAGCGGGAGAGCGTCGACGATGCGGTCACCCGCTTCGAGGCGCTGCGCGCACGAGTGGGTCAACTCGACGATCATTTCGTGCTCCCGACGCCCGTGCTCGCTCTGCTGTTCCTGGAAGCGATGCATGTGCCTAAGGCGGTGTACCCCCTCGTGCTGCAGAGCAACAACGGTCAGTTGCCAACGACGACGGACCAGCTGAACACGGTGACTGGCATGGTGCGGCAGCAGGGGCACTTCGCGGAGCACACGCACGCAGGACCGCAGAGCCTGGCCGAGGGCTACCGCGGCAAGGGACACCATGGGCAACATTGGTTTACGGGCGATAGCGCCAGCGGCACAGCAACGTGGAGTGACACGGCCGCGTACATGTATGGACAGAGTGCTGGCGGTGTGAGCAGCACGGGATCGGCCGTGCACGGCAACTCCTCTCAGCACTACGTTGTTCAGGATGAGGAGGGCTACGACTGCTGTGCCATCTGTGCGAGCTACCTGTGCGAGGACGAGCCGGGCGACGAGGACTCGATGACCGACGACGACGACCTGGACACCTCCAAGTTCACGCCCGAGGAACTCCAGGAGTACTACGGCGACGCCGAGGGCTGGGGATATCATTTCGGCGGATCAGTGGTGAATCCCAGATCCTTGGCGGGCGGCAAAGGTAAGAGGAAGACGGGTGGCAAACACTACATGGCAGGTTCTCCGAGTGCCACCAACCCTCGGGGCAGAGACGGCCGCATCATGCGATGTCACGAGTGCGACTCGGAGACGCACCTCGTGGCCTCCTGCCCCCAGCGCAAGGGCAAGGGCAAGGGCAAGCACTTCACGGCCTGGAGCGCGCCTAGCGCCACGACGGGTCCACAGACGCCCGGCTCTCAAGCCGCGGATCCAGTGCTGGCCGCGTACTCACCTTCCTCAGCGCAGCCAAGAACAGGATCGATGGCTGGAGTACTCCACTACCTCACGGACGACATCCAGACGCCCGGCGTGCAGATCGGCGACCTCGACGAGGACGACGGCCGCGAGGCCTTGGACTGGGAGACCCTCAACATGCTCGACGACATCACGGAGCACGACATGCTGGCGGAGATACAGGCGAGTGCAGAGGACCGCACCGACGCGAAGACTAGCCCCGAATGGTTCCCGTGGTGGCGAGTGGACCAGCTCGAGAGCACCAACGAGGATACCTATCTGGTCCGCACCCGCATGAAGAACAAGAGTGGCGAAGCCTTGCTGGTGGACCCCGGGGGCCCAGGCAACCTCGCTGGCGACGAGTGGGGCCATCGGATGGCCGAGAAGCAGCGACAGGCATTACTCCCCCCACCAGTTCGCACGCCTCTCGGCAAGACGCTCGAAGTGGGCGGCGTGGGCTCAGGATCTCAGCAAGCGACTCATTCTCATCGTTATCAATTGGCACTGGAAGGAGGTCAAGCGGCTACCTATGAAGCACTGGTGCTCCCGAACAGCAGCGTGCCGGCGCTGCTCGGGCGGAAGTCCTTGCGGGACCAGCGCACCCTGCTGGACTGCTTCAGCAATAGGCTGTACCGCATCGGCCCAGGTGGCTATTCGCTGCGGCTGAGCCCTGGATCGGCGCAGCATCACCTGGAGGAGAGCCATGCTGGCCATCTCATGTTGCCCTGTGACCTGTGCGACGAGCTGACGACTTCGAGGAGTGCAGGGCCGACAAAGACCAGGGCATTGGCTACGTCAACTGCGTCCGATACTACCGACTCGACAGCAGCGACTTCACCAACTCCGATGGCGCCCAGCATGGCGAGCAAGAAGAGTACTACCGCAGCGTCATCCAGCAGCGGAATCGCCGCGAGCAGTTCTGGCGGGCAGCCCGACAAGGGCGGCCTGCAAATCTGATCGCAGGCTCCCCATCTTGGTGCTCGGGACGGCGGGGGCACCAGAGAAGTACAGGGGAGACCGCCATCGGCATGGGTGTTCGTCGATTTGCAGAACCTATGCCAGAATGCGCTGCACGGATGCAGATATGCGGTGGGTCGCAACTGTGCTGTTCACCGATTCCTCGGGCAAGAGGATAGGTGGGCGGACTCCCTGCGCCACCGGTGGCAAGAGCTCGCGTGGATCAGCCTTGCCCAGGCGGGTGCGGCAAGGGGCGCGCGGAACGACAAGCGAGCCAAGCGCTTCGAGTGCAGGGTCGCTCGAGCTCAACTTGAAGGACATCGCCTATGCGTCGTCGAAGCAGACGAGGGCAGCGTGGTGTGGGACATGCCCGACATTCTCGAGCTGCTAGACGACGGCAGGTGGCGCATGGGACGACTACGATGGTGTAACCTCGGCGTGCGCGACGCTCGAGAAATTCCAGCAGCACAGGTCACTCGCATCATCAGCAGCAGCTACTTTGACGACCATGATGCGAAGTGCCGCTGTGGTTGGCAACCTGGCCGACACGTTACACGGAAGACAGCTGCAGATCGGCCAGACTTCAAAGCCAAGGGGGTGTCTGCCTTGGTCAAGCGGATGGTGGCCGCTGGGTGCATCGGCGGCGGCAGGAGATCCGACGCAGCCGACGGATCGTCGTCATCTGCAACAGCCGCACCAGGCCGTGAGGCCAGGGGTGCTGCCCGACCCGGGTCGTCAGGAGCTGATCCGACGACTACCGGGCCTCCAGGATCACGGACAGTGGCTTTGGAAGACGCCGATGAGGAGCAGTCGCGACGTGAGTTGCGTCGCCCTGGCCGAGTCTCGTTCGCCGACGACGTCGACGATGCCCGCTGCAAGGTGAGCGCGCTGGCCGCGAGCTTTCCCACCGAGCAGAGGACGCGCGACAAGGCGCGCAAGGCAGCAGACCCGGATCGCAAGGTGAAGGAGACCGCAGGAGGTCGAACAGGTCTTCGACGACTGCGGGTCCGACTTCACGATGCTCTACGTGGCGAACGAGTACGAGCTGGACGAGGTCTGCTACGGCACCGAGCTCAGGGAAGATCAGTACGTCGACGAGCAGCCGTACGTGAAGATGTCCGAGTTCTTTGGCATGACAGGCTCGGAGGCATATCTGAGCCAGAAGGGCGAGCAGCATAACTTCTTCCACTCGACGAATGATATGGTAAAGTATATGAATCACTACTACGGCCACCTGCAGCACGACGATGTCGCGGAGCTGTGCGGTGGAGCATCGGGAACATCACGGCTACTTGTACGACGAGGCTACCGACGTGGCCCCAACTTCGACCTCATCTGCAACTGCAACTTGATGACTCACGAGGGCCAGCAGCAGTTCTGGGCATACTTGCATGACAGCAAGCCCCTCGTGCTGCTGATCAGCACGCCATGCACTAGCCTGAAGGGGTTCTCGGCACTCAACAAGGTCATCAACCACGGCGGCTGGCTGCGCAGTCGCAGGATATCAGTGGCACTGGCCCGCCTGGCCGCTGCAGCAGCATGTGCGCAGATGAACGCCGGACGCCACTTCGTGTTGGAGCAGCCCCTTGGCAGCGACTTCTACAAGCTCGACGACTGGAGGTACACTGCCAACAACTACGCGGCGGTGGTGCGTTGTCAGGTTGACCAGTGCATGGCGGGCAAGATAGGACGTCGGACAGGACTACCGATCAAGAAGTCCTCCGAGTTCTGGGCTTCGAACGAGTGCTTGATCGGCGGTCTCAGGAAGTTCCGTTGCGACGGCCAGCATGAGCACGCTCTGCTGGCACATGGTGGTTGAGGCGCCTGCCCGGAGCAGGACAAGTGGTGCCTGGAGAATCCTAAAGATCATGCAGAGTGGGCCATCGGCATTTGCAGGGAGCTGGCCACGAGCATTTCCCGCATGATAGAGCACGTGAGGGCTCAGGGACATCACCTTGTCGTGTTCGAGTGCTACCCCACGACTGCGGTGCAGGCGGACGGCGCTGGCGCCGCTTCTTCTTCCTCTGCGCCGGCAGCTGCAGCATCGGCATCAGGATCAGCAGCAGCAGCTGCAGCACCAGCAGCAGCAGCAGCAGCAGCACCTGCCGCGGTGCGATCATGTCCAGGATGCCGACATCATCGGCTGGCTGATCATGTATCACACGACAGAGGAGAAACATGCAAGCATAGACTGGTGAAGACGCGCGACCTGAAGTGCCCGGCATGCCGGAGCGGCCGCGCGGTCTCAGATACACGACATACCCGAATACCTGGAGAATGCCGAGCAGACGGAGTTCTACCGAGAGCAGTCGGACCGCGAGACCTGCGGCCACGGCAGCCGCCCGCCGCGGAGGAGCCGACTGCGAATCAAGCACCAAGCGCAGCTCGAGCTGACGCGCGCGACGCCGAGCCAGAACCACCACCACCTCCACCCGTTCAGGCAGAACGGCGAGCTCGAAGAGCGGGACCCGATGATCCACTTCCACCAGCTCTGGCAGCACGGCAAGCTCGAAGAGCTCGATCGGATGGTCCACGACCTCGATCGAGACTGGCAGCAGCACTGGACGGAGCAGAGCCAGCTGAGTCGTCAGGTGGCGCCGCAGGATCTGCTGACGCCGTCGGTGAAGCACCAGGCGCGGCGCAACCTGCAGCAGCTCCAGCTGAACGACCTCAAGGTGTCGATGCGGGGACTCAGGCTCGAGCTAGTGACGAGCCCGGTTGGGCCGCGTTCGACCTCGGACACGCGTTGCGGCTGCTGCACAGCCCACATCAGGAAGTGATTCGGCGCCAACTCCGACGACTCCATGTTCGATTCTGGCTCGCTCCAGCCGCTCGCCTCCGAGAGTTGCTGACCAAGGCCGGCGCTCCTGCGTCCATGTTGGCCCTGGTGAAGGAGATCTGCGACACATGCCGAGTGTGCAGAATGTGGGCGAGACCGGGACCGAAAAGTATGACAGTTTCTCGGCTCGCGACGGGCTTCAACGAGATGGTCCAGTGGGACATCCTCTACATCGGCGACCAGATGGTGGCCCACATGATCGACGAAGCGACACGCTGGACAGTGCGGAACATTCTAGACCGCAAGACGGCGATCACGATCATTGCCGGGATCACCAACGGCTATATACGGCCTCATGGCCCCATGAAGCTGCTGATTGCCGATCTCGAGGGCGGCCTCCACGGAGAGGAGGCGTGCCAGTGGAAGAGGGCTCGCACGCGCAGTTGGTGGAGCGTCATCACGACCTAGCACGCAAGATCATACACCGAGTGCGAAGCCAGCTTGAGCAGGAAGGCATCGCGATGCCGTTGGAGATCGTGATCGCGGAGTGCGCACTCCTCAAGAACCTCCTCATCACCGCGGCGGGCTTCAATTCCTACCAGGCGGTGTATGGACGACTTCCTCCACTGCTGGCGGAGTTCGAGCCGGTGAGCGACTGTCAGATTGATGATCAGTCTGCGGGCATCCCGGGCATCTCACGACACCGTCATCGACTACGTGAGGTGGCGATGCAGGCCATGGTAGAGATGACCGCGAAGGATCGGCTGAGGCGCGCACTACGATCCAAGACACGGGCCCCTCACGAGACACTACAACTTGCGGTCGGAGATCAGGTTGACTTCCATCGACCACCGAGCGCGAAGGAGGAGTCAGGCTGGCGTGGACCAGCCACCCTGCTGCAGGTTGGACCGCTAGTGCTCGTTCGATGGCAAGGCCGAGTCTTTCAAGTCCGACCACAGGACCTCTGACGCAGCCTTGTGTATTTTGTGATGTTCACGAACAACATCTTCTTCGAAGCGGGGTCGCGCGACCCGGTGGCCACCATCATGAGCTACGCAGACCAGCTGGACAGCAAGGTCGTGCGTGTTGGTTGGCTCTTCGACGCCGGGTGGAAGCGGACCGCGGACAGCCAGAAGCTCAGCGAGCTGGTTCTGGCGGTGTTGCATGTAGCCGCCAGCGGCTTCTACCTGGTGGGCTGCGTCGGCGCGAGAGTGGGCAATGGCGTATCCGTACTTGAAGGAATGGCCGGCTGTGACCGCAGTTTCCTGTGGTGGTGGCGGCGTGGCCGCCCAGAGCTATCCTGGTACCACGAGGCGTCGGGTTCCGCGAGATTGAAGCTGGCACAGATCTTTGGCCAGGATCATTGGCGAGACGTGAGTTTCGTGCAGTTCATCCTGACCGACGACGAATCAGTTCGGGAACTTCGACGACGCGAACCTGAGGTGCCACATCTTGGAGGACCTTGGTTCGGCAATCTCCCACACGCGCGACGATATGAACAGCCAGAGCGACCTGAATCCGGACCATTTCAAGACCCACCGGAGCTTCAGGAGGAAGACTTCGACGTACCCTGGCAGGACAGACCGATATCTGACACGAGTATACCAAGCATGTCCAGACAGATGAGCACGACTACACCAGGAGTACCCGACACGATATTATCCAGCGCGTCAAGACAGTCAAGTGTGTCCACGAGGAGTAGGAGTGACAGAGGACCACAGCGGCCCCGAGGACCTTCTCCGGCCACGACCGTGCACGACGATGTCGGGCCGACAACGAGGACTGGTAGGGCGCCTCCAGATATGAAGAAAGTTCGAGAGAGATCACGATCTCGTGACGCTGGGGACCGCGATCGTGGAGCTCGAGGCTCTGGTGGGCCAGCAGCGGCAGCAGAACCTTCTGCGCCACTCCGCGAGCCTGTGCTGCCGCTCAAGGAAGACCATGACGCGACGACGATTCGGACAGCGACGCCACTCAGGAGTACGAGTTCGCCAGTTGGCAGTATATGAAGGAGCAGGCCGCGTTGCCTGCGGTCGACGCCGAGTGCGCTCAGTACGACTTCGCAGCCCCGGACGCAGATCACGTGGTGGAGGCCATTGAGGAGGTCTCCACGAATTCCCGACCCGACTGTCGAGATCGGCATGGGCGCTCCGTTGATGTACTGGGTATGCCCTGAGGCAGAACACGTTCGACGTCCGGGAGCTGGCGAGATCTATGTTCTTCGCATCTACAACACGGGCCAGCGCGAGATCGTTGTCGAGCGTGAGATGAATGTGCTCACACTGGAGGAAGCCCGAGCTCATGAGGTTGAAGTACGACAGGCGATGAAGGATGAGCTCCAGCGCTGTGCGGGATTGCAAGCATTCCAGCGATTCCCGAAGGATCAGGCGAACAACGTCATCGACTCGCGCTGGGTGCTCAAGTGGAAGGAGCTTGATGGCAAGAAGCAGGTGCGTGCGAGACTCACAGTGAGGGGCTTCAAGGTCATGCAGTCCCCAGAGCTGTCCACGTTTGCAGGAATCACGACACGATGGGGGCAGCGACTGGTGAATCAAGTGACAGCGCAGCGCAGGTGGCGATTATTCTCAGCTGACATCAGCCAAGCATTCTTGCGTGGCCTCACCTTCGAGCAGGTTGCCGCCATGGACGGGGAAGTGAAGCGGAAAGTGCAGTTCACCATGCCGCCTGGATCGATCCCCGTGCTACGACAACTTGAAGGATACGAGGACCTCAACCCTGTGACAGATGTGTTGTTGCTCCTTCGCTGCGGGTTCGTCCTCAAAGATGCGCCGAGACTGTGGCAGGTCATGCTGAAGAAGGTGTTGGAGAAGACCTGCGGCAGGGCGCTCATCAGCGACCCGCAGCTCTACGTGTACCACAACGAGAAGGGCGAGCTGCAGATGATCATGTCCTCGCACGTTGACGACTTGAAGGGCGGCGGCGAGGACTACCAAAGGGAGAAGGTGCTGAGCGTGATAGAAGCGGACTTCGGGAAGCTGAAGCGAGCATGACATCTTCGAGTGCGTTGGCATCACTCACGAGCAGAACCCCACAACGAAGGCCATCTGGACGGACCAGCAGCACTACGTGCAGCAGCTACGCCCACTGCAAGAAGATCAGTATGTAATGGAGAACGAAGACGACCAGGTGAACACCGAGAGTCATGCTGCATATATGTCGCTTCTCGGTGGGGTCGCTTGGATGACGCAGACAATGGCACCGATTGCAGTGTATGTGAGTTACCTTCAGCGCCAAGCCAAGAAGCCGACCGTGGGTGATATCAGGAAGATCATTCGGCTGCTGAAGTGAATCATGACTCATGTGAAGCAGCTCGGAGTTCGGTTTGTCGCGCTGAGTCCAGACCGAGTTCGACTAGCGGTTGTCAGCGACTCAGCCTTCCACGCCATGGAGTTCGAGGGGCTGGCGATCCGAGGCTGCGTGATCATGCTACTAGAAGCCAGTGAAGAAGTGGTAAGGACGGGATCTACGTACAGAATCGTGATGCTAGGCTGGTACAGTCGCAAGCAGAACAATGTGGTCAGGTCTACGTATGCGGCTGAGCTGATGGCGTTGCTGGATGCTCTTGGCACTGGGACGCTCCTTAACGTTGCACTGACCGAGATTAACGAAGGTGTATGTTCTGCCAACCAGATGCGGATGCGGCAGGGGAACGGCAACTTGATGATGAAGATGATGGCGGCCATCGACGCAAAGGCCGTGTTCGACGCCGTCTCCGCAGATGTTATCAAGATCGCGACGGACAAGCGGATGTTCGTGCCGACGTTGGCGGTGCGAGAACAGCTGGACCGTCTCCAGCTAGCGCAGCTCTGCTGGATCGACACGATCGACATGCTGGCAGATGCGCTCACTAAGGGCGAGATCGACAGGGAGCCGCTCGTGAAGCTGGGTTTCCAGAACGAGTGGCGTCTGAGCGGGCTGCAGCCTGTGGCGTTCGCCGTGCGCAGTGTGCTCTGACGCCGTGCCTCCTCGCGCGACGCAGAGCGTGATAATTCCCGACCCGAGTGAAAGGGTGCAGGGGAGAGGCGCGAGCAGCATGCTGTGTACACTGCAGCCTTTCAGGCTCAACCAGCCGGGCGGCCAGCCCGGCCGAACTGTCGACAGAGAGAGAGAGAGAGAGAGACAACTATTTCATTTCATTTCAGGACCGCATCTCATGGCGATGGTGACGATCATCTCAGAGACGGTAGGGACGTTCGGCCCTGAGGAGGCGGGGGAGAAGCTCACCTGAGGTCATTCGACTTCCTCCTCCTCCTCCTCCTCCTCCTCCTCCTCCGCGGGACCTCCCAGGAGCCCACGAAAGTGGCGACGGCTGCGCATTTCGCAGCCCGACTGGATCTCCGAGTCCCCCCACTCCGCGGGACCTCCCAGGAACCCACGGAAGTGGCGACAGCTGCGCACTTCGCAGCCCGTCTGGATCTCCGAGTCCCCCCACTCCGCGGGACCTCCCAGGGGCCCTCGAACGTGGCGAGGGTTGCGCATTTCGCAGCACCCCAGGGAGCCGCGAGGTCTCAACTGGATTCCTGTGCCCCCCCACTCCGCAGGCACTCCCAGGAGCCCACGAAAGTTGTGAGGGTTGCGCACTTCGCAGCCCCCCCCCAGGGAGCTGCGTTGTCTCAACTTGATCCCCGTGCCCCCCCACTCCGCGGGGACAGTTGAGCACTTGAGCAGTTTGCAGCCTCCCAGGGAGCCGCGAGGTTTCAAATGGACCCCCGTGTACCCCCACTCCGCGGGACCTCCCAGGCGCCCGCGGACGTGGCAACACTTGCGCACTTCGCAGCCCCTTAGGGAGCAGCGAGGTCTCAACTGGATCCCCTTTATCCCCCTCCCGCTCAGTGAGACTTCCGAGGAGCCCGCGCTAGTGGCGACAGTTGCGCATTTCGCAGCCCCCCAGGGAGCAACGATGTATCAGCTGGATCCCCGTGTTCCCCCACTCCTCGGGACCTCCCAGGAGCTTCCTAAGAACGTGCCGACAGCTGCGCACTTCGCAGCCCCCCAGGGAGCAGCGATGTCTCAACTGGATCCCTGTGTCCCCCCACTCCGCGAGACCTCCCAGGAGCTTGCGAAGTTGGCGAGGGTTGCGCACTTCGGAGCCCCCTCAGGTAGCTGCGATGTCTCAACTAGATCCCCGTGTCCCCCCACCCGGCGAGACCTCCCAAGAGCCCGCGAAAGTGGCGACAGCCGTGCTCTTCGCAGCCACAGCTGGATCCCCCTTCCTCCCGGCCTCTCCCCCCCCGTCGGAATCGCGGATGAAACGCTCCCATCGCGGAGAGGGGGCGTTACGTTCCAGGGAGTGGACGGTACCCAGCGCGCGCGGCCCCCGGCACCGCCGCCCATCAAGAGGGGGGCCCCTCCCGCTCAGCAGGACTTCCCAGGAGCCTGCGATAGTGGCGACATCCGCGCACTTCGCAGCCCCCCAGGGAGCAGCGAGGTCTCGACTGGATCTCCGAGTCCCCCCACTCCGCGGGACCTCCCGGGGGCCCACGAAACGTGGCGAGGGTTGCGCATTTCGCAGCACCCCAGGGAGCCGCGAGGTCTCAACTGGATCCCCGTGCCCCCCCCTTCCGCAGGCACTCCCAGGAGCCCACGAAAGTGGTGAGGGTCGCGCACTTCGCAGCACCCCCCCCCAGGGAGCCGCCGCCACCCCGCCCATTTCTTTTTACACTGCCATCGCATCGCTACTGCGGCCCCCTTGGAAAATGCTCCCCCCCCGTGTGCCCACACGAGTGTGCAATTCTCTTCCCTGCCCGACGTCCGTGGCCACTTGTCAGGAGGGAAAGAAACACACAGACACAATGAATCGTCGACTCCCAGGAACATATGGGAACATATGGGAATTGGGGGGAAGACAAACACCCAGAAAGAAAAATAGGTGAAAATATGGGGAATCCTGTTATTTGTGTGTGTATTTATTTGTGTGTCCCAGGGCCCCTTCAATTTGGGCCCAGGCGCTCGGCTGCCGCTGGAAAAACTGCTCACAACCACCCTGGGGCGTCAAGCTCCTGGGAGTGGCGGGTGCCCTGCGTACAGGGCCCCCAGCACTGCCACCCATGGAGAGGAACTCGCTGGCATTTCGATCGTTCCCACTTCCTGCTGTCGCACCGCTACTAAGGATTCATCGCGGAGATGTATACATGGTTCGCTTTCTTGGCGCATGCTTTGACCAATTCGTTCATCAGGACGAGCTACCGAGCCTGAACGACGAGACGGCCCACGGCGACTTGGCGACGCCCGTGCGGGGCGCGAGACGCGACCGAGTCCCGGCTCCGCCTCCCTCCCCTCCCCTCCTCGCCCTGCCCTCGCCCCCCTTTCCTCAGCGAGCGAAAAACGGTATAAAATAAACTTTTTCGCTGTCGGGGGCGCCTGTCCCAGGGCGGTTGGAAAGTTTATGCCCCTACGGTGCCACCGTAAGGGTATAAACTTTCCAGCCGCCCTGGGACAGGCGCCACCGACAGCGAAAAAGTTTATTTCATACCGTTTTTCGCCCGCTAATTTCCCCCCGTCCGCAGCCTGGCCAGCGCTTGGGCCAGGGCCCCCCGGGCCATGGCGCCATGACGCCTGGCCCCGCCTGCCGCTCCGCGGCCGCCGCCGCGGCGCACTGCGGCTTCCTCTTCGGCGACGACCCCGCCGGCTCTTCTGGGGCCGCGGATGCCGGGCTGCTCGCGGCCGGAGCCCGGCCCAGGGGCAGGGCCGCGGCGTCCTTCCTGAGCGCCGAGCAGGACTCGCCCTGGCCAGAGAGGGGACATCTCGGGCCCGCGGCCGGCGTGATGCGTCATCATCTCTTGTGGTGGAAGCCAGGGGTGCCGCAGGTCACCCACGGGGGCGACGGAGCCACTCGGAGCCAGTCGGCCCTCCTTGGGCCTCCCGCAGTGCGCACAGCGCGGGGACTTCCGAACTCCGATTCTGGGGGGAGGGGGATTCTGAACCCCATCGATCGGGTGTTGCTAGAAGTGCTCCTGGGCCAAGGTGCCCCCAGTATTCTCGGGGTAGCCCAAGCGACCTCCAAAGCACCCCTCACGAGGCCCAGAGGGCCCCAGGGGCTTCAAAATGGAGCGAAAAGCTGCGGGCACCTTGGGCCAGGGGTACTTCTAGCAACACCCGAATCGAATCCCGAGCGGGGGGAAAGCGCACGAACCTGGGGCACGCAGGGCGCTGCGAGCGGCGCGGTGGCCGACAACAATCGGCGGGGTCGCTGAATCTCAAGGTCGCTGGTGGTAAATACGAATGATTATTTGCCCTGTGTTGCTTTCGACCCAAGATCCTCAATTGAAGATTCGTGGCGCGCCGCTCGAGCGCGGTCGCCGTTTTGATCTTACGGTGACAGCCCCAGCGCCCCACCCATACGCAAACGGTATGCATCTTTGGCCGAATGGCCGCTCGGAATTGCCTTTTTCCGCTCATCCGCATCCTGTTCCTGCTTGTCCCCTTCTGTTTCTTCTTCTCGTGTTGCTCCTCCTTCTCCCCCTGATCTTCATCACCATTCGCATCATCATCATCACCATCATCATCATCATCATCATCATCATCATCATCATCATCATCACCACCACCACCATCACCATCAGCAGCAACAGCATGTTAATTCGTGGCCTCCGATGTGCCTCTTCAGTGGTACGAGATATTGGAAATTCGCCTGAACGCACAGAGCAACACACCGACGATGGACATGGCAAACGTAACAAAGAGCATCCAGGAGGTCAAGGCTGATGCGGGTTACGCTGTACAAGTTGCACGCGATACACAACACCGCGTTGAGGATGCAGAAGCTGATCTCGAACATTTCCGGGTGGATTCATCGCCAGAGTACATCACGAGGGACTCACCCAACAAGAAGGTGGAAGCCAAGGGGGAACAGCATGTCAGTAAGGCGCTGCATTCCCCGAGCGGTCACACACAAGCTCGCCCTCAACGTGGTGAAGTACAGGAGGAGGGGATGAACTAGAATAGCGTGAACTTCAGATGATCATCGGGGCCTTTAAAACGAGTGGGATGGGCAAACCAAATAGAGATATATTACTATAGTCGTTGACCATGGGGGTGTCGGACAATATTGTCAGGGTTTTAGCGTTCACTGGTCTTTGTAGATAGGAATGGCTCAATTCAAAACACTGGTAGTGAGTACGAGGCTCGCAAATAAGACCCGCCAGAACCAGCATAAGTGAAACGATGAAGAAAATGTTTGGTTCAATAGCAGCAGCTCATTTGATGAACGTGCCGTCGACAAGGCGGTGGGTCAGCTAAAACATAAGTTGGTGGGGAAGGGGCACCACAAGCATGCAATCAACATCAATGTACTGGGACGTGGGAGGAGTAAAGATGCGCAGGGAAGTTATAGCAAGGGCGGGGCCCGACGGATCCGTGCAGACCTACCACGAGGGCATCGATGTCAACGAAGTGGTCGAGGAATTCAACACGAGGATGGGAAACTTAACGCCGACAGCTCCAGGGGAATACCAACAATCCACCGACCCCAGAGTGCTATCCGAACTCACGAGGGGGCATCTCGGAATCCAGAGGCCAGTTTTGCGCTGGATCCGAAAAGCATGCTTCACTTTCGCCCCTCCTTATTTCCGACGGATTGCTAGACACCCAGTATCGATCGATATTCTCCGATTGCTCAGGACTCTGTCAGATCCTTTAGAAGGAGTCTGAGGCGCCATCTTTGCATGGCGGCGTATTTTCTCCGACGACATCCTGATCGCATTCGAGAGCGGTGGCCCCGAAGACAACCGCGGCTCCGCGACCCGTGCGCCGACCTGCGCGCCGGCGCTGAGCAGCCGGCGCCCGCAGGTGCACCGTCGACCAGAACCACCAACAGCTTTTGACCACGACCGACCGGCAGCGCAACACCACGCGCCGACCCCCGCAACCCTACCGACGCACCGCGGCGACGCTGACAGCGCCGACCTCCGCCGACCAGCAGGCCAAAA